TGTATATAACTCTTAATTGTTTTCCTTTCCTTAAGCTGTTTTTACATGATTATTTGTTCCAGTAAAGAACACATATATATTTTTCACACATGGTTTATTCTCTAATCTATTTTTTTCCTTCTCTAATTTTATTGACTTAGTCCAAAAGCATTAGATTTAAACAATTTAGTTCCCCTCGGTCAAAGGGTAAATGAGGTAGTGACAAAAACAGCCTTGCCTGTCTGTTATTCGATAATTTCGACATTCGACATTTTTTGTGTGTGAAAAACGTTTGAATAAAAAATAAAAAGTGAAAATATTACTGCAAGTCACAGGGGGATAACAGGCATGGCAAGAGATATGGGACATTATGAGAAAGGAAGAATCCAGGGGAGAACAAAGAGGAAACAGGAACCCAAATAGCCGGTAAAACAGGCCAGTAGCAACAGACTAACTGACAGGCAGAGGTGGACTGAATGAGCCTCATTGTAGTGAATGATAATGAATAGAGGGAAACAGAGAACCTAAACATGACCACATAGAAGCTTTCTATCCTCAGCAAAACTTTAACAGAGCTGAAATAGAAATATCACCTAAAATACACAGAAAAAAAAATCAACAACAACCAAAAAACAACTTAGGAAACATGTCTGTGAAAATTCTAAATTATCCGGGCTATGGTAATGACACAAGAGCTATAAAAACCTAAACTTATTTATCAAGACTTTTTAAAAGTAAAAAATGCCTTCTTTATTAACTGAACTTCATAAAGAAAGAACTGATGAACACAATGAACAAGAAAATGTTGAAAACAAACCCCAAGACCATTGAATGGCAACAATCCAATTACCGGTAATTGGTAGTGATAGAAAGGTTCATGACAATAACGTTTGTGTAAGTCTAAGTTCAGTTTATGGTTGTCCTTACATTTGTTGTTTCGTATCTGTCTAAATTTAAGATACTGTAGTACTATACCAAGGAAAGTATTTTATTTTCTGCTTCCTTCTCTTTTATAACTAGAATAAAGATTTTCAATTTCTCACTTTGATCTAAAATAGTTTGTGGTCACTTTAGAATTCTGTAATGGTAAATCCAATCTAAATATCAAATAATGTGAACCACTTTATCACATTTTGCCCACAGAGGTATGGGTGACAGGGATAAAAATGTGGCAGTTATCAAATCAACCTCATAGTCAAATAAGCAGTAAGAAAACTAAACCGGGGACCAGCTGCCTTTTTTCCACTTGTCAACTTATGCAAGAACTTAAAACTGTGTTTCAAAAAAAACTTTTTCTTTTTAAAATTTTAACAGAAAAAGCATGAATTATATTCATCCATCTTAAAATGGAACAGCTTCTTGGTACATTTTTATTTTTATGACATGAAAATGGGACCGGATAATAACAAATAACAAGGAGATTCTTGGTGAAATGCAGTACATGAAGCTAAAATCAAACTTATAGAAGTTATCTTTAATCCTAGCATGAAAGACCCAAGGACCTTTTTTGATATGGGTCTGAAAATGAAAAACAGATTGAGCATTGATCATGAAAATACAGATAATGCTCATTAAGTCTGGTATGGTAATTTAAAAAGCTTTTTTCTTGTGGTATCATGCCAAGGCTTTTGAGTCCTGCTGGAAAAAATCTGTATCCAAAAGAATAAATTATACTTGGTCAAGTTCTAAGTGTGAATTAGAGAAAAGGCTGGAAACTACCTGTAAATCCCACCTCACATGCAGTAGATATGCATTAAACCATTTGGCCTTAATATAAGGAATGCTTAATAGATCTTTGAAGAAAAAAAAGTTTAAAAGCCAAAATAGTCTAGTGCATTATAATTTGTTTTTCCATCTCTTTAAATATTTAACTCCTTTCGGTATCTCCTTTTTTAGTCAACAAAAAACCATTTTACGTGATTTCTGTTATTCTTTTCAAAGTCAGAGAATATTGTAGTTAATCTTTTTAGTAGTGATAAACCAGAATTAGTAAAATTTCAAGTGTAACAACAAATTAAAAAAACTGGAGTTTCTTAATTTGTCTCTGGATTCCATTTAGTGCTAGTTTGTTACATTGCTTTATCCACATCGACACAATGATCCTCTGATTAAGGACACATTATTAACTTTGGTCCAAATCCATTTTTAATGAAGCCGAAGAAGTAAATCTGCACATGAATGCAGCTCAAGTTAGAAGATTATATTGCCTCCCCCAAAACTAATTGCACCTTGGGTTCCCATTCATGCTTTAAGCTTGCTGTAAGTATTGGACAAGAACACATTTTTAGCACACAATATGCTTCATTTGGTGTCATGCTTCAAACAGGATAATCATAGAACACATGACTGATACTGTATGTTAAGAATCCAATTCTTTAGACCATTGTTGAAAGTTATCAATAATGTGATAAATTATTTGGAAAAATGCTTTCAAAAAGCCCTTAAAAATACCCATTTTACAAAACAGACACTGCTATAAGCTTTTTCCATTTCAAACACGTGTTTAAAAAAAAATCTATCTCACCATATTTCAATTGCTGTAGTATAAGAGTGAAAATCTTTGTGTGTAATCGGCCAATTAGGTTGTTTGGTTTTACTTTTTAATCATAATAACAATTAAATGAATAAGACACATGGGACTTACACACATATATACATACATGTATGTATACGTATATACACAAATTATCATTGAAAATAATTTATTAACCAATGGAGGCCTGGATTTGGATTCACACACAACACACTGCAGGAGGATCTAACTTTTATTTAATGTCCTTAAAACAGGTTAAAATGAGGCTCAGTATTGTGTGTGGCCTCCATGTCCCCGTATGACCTCCCTACAAACCTTGGGCATGCTCCTGATAAGGTGGCAGATGGTCTCCGGAGGGAACTCCCCCCCAGACCTGGTCTAGAGCGTCTGTCAACCCTTGGACAGTATGTGGTGTAACTTGACATTGGGGGATGAGGGCGTGCAGGTGGTGCAGTGGTTAGTGCGCACCACCCATGTACGGTGGACTTAGTCCTTGATGAGGCCAACCCAGGAGTGAATCCGGCTTTTGGTCCTTTGCTGCATGTCTCTCCCAGTCTCTCATACGTGTTCGCCTACTGTCAGAACAACAAGCCACTAGTAACATTGGTGGACGCATCGAGATGTTGTGCTCAATCAGATGGTCCAGGGAACGGGCAGTCCATAGCTTGGTGCTCTCTGGCAAATGCCAAGCGTCCTGCATGGTGTTGGGCTGTTAACACAACCCCCATCTGTAGATGTCATGCCCTCATACCACCCTCATAGAGTTGCTTTCTAACAGTTTGTGCAGGCACATACACATTTGTGGCCTGCTGGAGCTTATTTTGCAGGCCTCGGGCAGTGCTTCTCCTGTTCCTCCTTACACAAAGGCAGAGGTATAGGTCCTCCTGCTGGGTTGCTGCCCTCCTATGGCCTCCTCAACATCTCCTGGTGTACTGGCCTGTCTCCTGGTAGTGCCTATACCCTATTGACATTACACTGACAGATACAGTAAATTTTCTTGCCACAGCTTGCATTAGCAAGACACACTCTTTTGTTGAGTGTGTCTTGCTAATTGCCAATCATTTCCATTGCCTATTCCACTTCAAAACAAGCTGTCAAAGTTACTGTCAATCAGTGTTGCCTCCTAGGTGGAAAGTTTATTTTTACGGAAGTTTGACCTGACTAAAGTTAGGGAAAAGTGTGACGGGAAATGGATGGATGGAATTGTTAAATATATATATATATATATATATATATATATATATTCATTTTATTAAGGCATATCCTACAGTGGGGTGTTACCACAGAGCAACTACCTCTAACAGATTGCCTGCCATAAATTTTGCGTGGGACCAAGCCCACATCACCTCATTATCGATACATCTGAACCTTTCAAATTTTCAAAGAGGCATCCCATGTAAGAGACCCTGTTAGGGGGAAAGTTGGCAGGCTAAATTAGGTGTGTAATAATAGTCCAATCCAGCAGCCCCATTATAGAAGAAATAGCTTATTTTTAGCATGAGGAAACCTATAAATCCCCAAAGGAAAACAACATTTAATCATTTCAAGAAGAAAACAACTTAAGTGTGTGTGTTTAGCAATTTCCTGACAGACAATTTTTTTATGTTAACTCCACTGTCATTACTTTCTATATAACTACCTGCCATTAGCTGCTCTAACCATCAATGAATCAGGTCACTTGCAGACTATTTATATCTCTCAGACAACGGCGTCCCCCCTGCTTCTCTCCCTTATGTGTGGAGGCTTTCGGTATGGAGGAAGGAAGATAAGAAGGTGGATGCAGCAATGGTGTAACAAGGAGGAGGCAGATTTAGGGGAGATTTTCATAATAGTGCCTAGCTATCCTCTTTCTTCTGGTGTGTATTATGACGACGGGAGGCTGAAAATAGAACATCTTTAGAGAGAGTGCAGTTAGGCTTAGTGTAGCTTTACACTATACTCTTAAATGTCCACACATACACACACACACATATGCTATATATTTAGTATTAGGTAATCTTAAGAAAATAGGATTTGTTCCGAAATCAACACAATCTTTCAAGTCTGTCATGACATTGGTTGTTACATCACATCCGTGATTTCCTCAGATCTGTGGAGGTGCATTCACACACAACTCCTCTGACTGAACGTTTGGGAGTCTCTTAACTACAAAAAAATAACCATGTGTTTCTTTTAGCCTTAGGCACATCTAGTTCGTTTTTTTTTTTTTCTAGATCAAGTTGATGATGGAAACACATCCAAAGCTGAGATAAATTTGTTTTATGTGACGACAACTGTGGGTGGAAGCAAACCCCTGTACCACAAACACTGTGTGTATTGTGGGAGCTAAAATGTGTGAGTGTGAATGTGTTTATTTTTCTGTGATATTTGCATATGTTTGTCTGCACAGGACAGGGTTTGTGTGCCTGTGCTAGCCTCAGTGGGTGAAGTGTGCTCTGCCAGAGTAAGCGAGAGAGTGGAATGTGTGAGTAGAGTGGGATCAGAAAGGGGAGAGGGAAGGAGAAAAAAAGCAGGAGACAGAAGAAACACACGGACACAGATCTTTGTGCCGCGGCGAATAGAACAGGAGCAAGTAGGAGAAAGAGGTGCATCTTTCATTTTTCTCTTTGGGGATTTAAGCTTCTTGCAGTTTGGCTTCAAGGCTTGAATAGGGTTTCCCTTCTTGTCAAACGTGGCTCCCTGCTCTGAAGACGGGACTTTGTTTTGAAACTGAGGGGGTGAATAGAGGGGAGGTAGAGGGACACTTGCTTTTACAGCCTTTGGAGCCAACCTGCTTGACAGATGGCACCGGCAAAATAATCTTTGACTCTAACCCAGGAACCACATCTCTCTTCGCTCACTGAGGTAACGTATGTCCTCTTCTCCTTTTTATGTTTGAAGAAATATTGGATGCTTATAAATGTATAATGCTGCACTGTTTGCACTGGATATTACTGAGCGAATGTGAATAAAATGCTCAATGTGCATGCAGGTATGTTTGAGATGTTAGTGTGCAAGCTCAGTCACCACCACATCAGCAATAGTTGAAGTCAAATTTCCAAGCACAGTTTAGTTTTTCACCTATCTGAGTAGAGCTGTGTTTTACCTGATTGACTGTCAGCCTGAGGTCCAGGGTTGGTGATGGAATCAGGGCAGCAACTTACCCAATTTTTTCTCCCCTAAGGGGCAAACCAAGTGCATTTCTGTATTTTTCCCCACTCAGCCTTTTTTATATATAAAACCAAAGCTGGTTTTCTCTGTGCCTCGACCAGCTGTGGCAGACTTAACAAATTGTGGGTCCACTAACAGCAACAGAAGCAGGTGCTTGTTGGAAATAGCACACTGTGATATATATGTATTGTCATTCAGACTAACAACTTGTGCTGTAAAACTTGCAGATGTTGAGGATATTCCATCCATAATCTATCTATCTATCTATAGAGATAAGAGGGAGGAAAAAAACAGAGATTATGTAGAGATGTTGCATAATTATATTTTTTTCAGGAGACTTGACAGAAAAAAAATATAAATAACAACAAATTCTGGAAAAAAAATCAACCTCAAACTATAATAACTTTTCTATTTAGTTCAAACTGACATTCTTTCTTTGGAAGAGTTGTACCCCACCATGGCTTTTCTGGCACATCCTCTTTTATTTTAAAACTAATACTTATAAACAATGTTCTACCTTTTTTTTTACGAAGCCAGCACTGTTGGGAATGTATTGTTTGAATTTCCTTTGAAAATAGATGAGAGACTGTAATATTCAGTGAAAACCTAATATGTTTGTATGTGGGGAAGTTTGTCAGGGGAACAATGGCCAAGTGACCAAGTGTGGTCTTTGTAATAAATCGCTCTGCTGTTCTCTGTGACACGTATACATAAACATTCAACCTCTCCCCAGTTCTCTACCTTAATCTTGTTTATTAAGCAAAGAGAACTAAAAGGCTCCTGACAATTTGCAGCAATAATCCCTTGGATTAGTTGAGAAATTAAAATAAGATAGCAAACTTCATATTCAAATAGGGAGATGGATTAAAAATAGTTTAATCCACTAAATTACTTTGAAAGCGAATAGTTGGAGTTGTTTCAGATGGCTCACTAAATTGGCTTTCCTCTATATAGTGATTAGCTTAATTTTTGGATGTGAAAATAACTTAAAAAAAAAAATAAAAATAGGGTGAAAACATATTCTTATCTTCTGTATGTCGCTCAGTAAACTGAAGGTGATATGTTGACCTACTATGAATATCCTAGATAACCTTCAGAGGGATCCAAGGTCAGAGAAGCTGCAGTCCCTTTCATACCAACACTTTAGAACATAATTTTGTATTTTGACCACGATTGCGTGAAGTATTGATTTGGTGAGCAAAGTTTCAGTCAGCCTGCTGCTATTACTGTTCATCTCTGAATTGCCAAAGTAGAACAAAGGATTTATCATGGTGTTTGCTAACTCATTCCAAGATCCGATTTAGTGATAATATGTGATCAACCAGACAATTTGGTAATAGGATTAAAAATATTTTATGGATTTTTAAATATCAAGAGTATTTAGGGTGTTATTGTTTAAGTTTAAATTGTGTTCATTGTTAAAACAATTATTAACTGGAATGATTATAAGTTCTTATAAATACATGTTATAACGACAGACTAGTGGAATCTGTGTTGAGTCTTTTTGTGCACTAGAGGAGAGAATAAACTAATTTCATAATCAGAGATTATTCTTTTTTATCTTTTAACACTGACTGTGCATTTCTCCTGCTGTTATCAATTGTAAAATGTACCTTATATCCTGAGACGACTCATTATCATAGAAGAGTTAAGATAAAACAGAGTTTTACTTCATGTTCATTGTCAGTGCATTGTGGTGAAAGGCATTCCTATTATTAGAAGCTTAATTACAGAACTAGCAGGTCACATTTGACCTGCAGCTATTTGAGTAAATTAGAGGCAAATAAAAATTAGTGGTATCGACTTGTTTTGATTAGAGGTTGAAAATTGTACTCCATCAAGTCATGAGTAATTTAAGGTAGAGTTTTTAAAAACATGGGGGTGGTGGGATTCTGAAATCAACACATACAGCAGTAGAAAATTAACGCCTTCAAGAAACCAACATATACAGCAGCATAAAATAAATAAATTTAATCAACAATGTAGTGAATATTGAAGATATAGAAGTTGTTAGCTTAAGATTCGTTATACGAACATGAATCAGCAACTGGACTGATTAGTCAGTTTATATCAATAGGAAAAGTTGAATTAAAATGCAGTCTTCATGTCTACTTATTGTGTGTGGTGGAATATACTGATTTATAGCAGGGGCATTAATATGTTAAACCAAAATTGTGTTTTAACCTTATTAAATATTTAGTGTACTCTACAAATGGGACATCATACCCCATTCAATAATTTTACCTGGAAGACAGCAGAGAACAAATGAATAGCTAAATCTTTTAAGGAGGACATTTTAAGTACGGTAAGTGTTCTTTGGAAGGAAATTTCTTAAAAGGATAAAATTCATGCAGAAACAATTTAGCAGGAATCAAAACTAGGAGACGCTCAGGAGAGAGAAAAATAAGAATGAAGGCATGAAGGGAATCCAGAAACAGTGACTGCAGAGGAGGAGTATATATGCTACACAGAACAATGAATGGAGTAATCAGCTGGTTGGGAGCAGGTGTGGACAGAGGTATCTAGAAGGGAGCTTGGGGAAAGGAGTCCGGTACAAGGGGACAACAGATAGAAACTCAACAGATAGAAATACACAGAACAACAAAAACAGAAACACTTTTGGTTTTGCTTCTATTTTTTTATGAGAAAACCTTTTCCACATACACAATAACAGTATTTTCGTCAAATATTGTTCACAAACCAATCTTAATCTATGAAAGTGAGCACTTCTCTTTGCTGAGAGTATCCGTTCCACATGACAGGTGCGCCATATCAAGATGCTGATTAGACACCATGATTAGTGCACAGGTGTGCCTTAGAATGCCCACAATAAGAGGCCACACTGAAAGGCACAGTTTTATCACAAAGCACAATGCTACAGATGTCACAAGCTTTGAGGGAGCTAAATGGATATGAAACTAATAAATTAGAAAACAGACAATGACTTAAATCAAAGTAAAAATTATACAGAATAAAAAATCCTAAGAAGGAGATCATGACAAAATCTTCTTTCCAGTTTTTTTTAAAGAGCAGGAATATGAGGTTTCCATCATGCAAAGTCAGTTTGAAGTTCAAAGTGTGGTGTTATGTCAATGTCGGATTGATTCTATTTTATGTGTGTCAATTGAACCTATTTTCCTTGGAATTTTTTTTTCATTCTTTTTTATTGAAACAAACAGCGAAAAAACAAGAAATTGTTTTTATTTGTCTCATAAAAATAGAAGATGAAAAGCAGTTTCTTAATTTCTCATTAACATACTATTAAAAAAACAGATTTAAGTGATTAAAATATATTCATCTTTTAATTGTTTTATTTTAGGCTTTTATAGCTTATCTATATGAACACTATCACAAATATCTCAGCCTGCTGAACAGCACACATTTGCAACTACCTTTATTTATTAAACAAGTAAATTCAGCTGTTCTACTATACAATCAACTCTTCAAATCCAAACCCTCCCTAAAAGATGACTATCAACTCAGTCCAATAATTGAATCCATTTATAAATTTAAAACTTTTATTCTGATAAAATGTTGAATAAAATGTCAGGCCCAGACAACATAATTAAATCCAAAACGTCATACTTTTTTTCCTTCTTGCGGGGCAGCCATAGCATCAATCTGAACATAGAAGGCCTCTCTGCTTTTGTGCTTCAGTGTTTTAAATGATTCTATTATCGGATAAACAAATAACTAATATAATATGCTCTTGTATTAACAATACCCTAAATACAACTCCTTTTTCATGTTTATAAACAATTGAAAACACCCAGTGTGAAAGCAAATATATTCTTATTCTTCTTATTTATTAACAGTTTGAGACTATATTAGTTGTTGCATTAATTTCATAACTGGTATCGGATATACGTCTGCTAAGCTTTCCAAGCTGCTATTAAATGTTCTTAACAGGAGCACTATTGTGCTTCTCCTTTCTTATATTAACTGCTGTTTGTGTTTCACAAAACTATACTTACCTAGTAATATGCTTGTTATTTTTTCTTCATATAAAATTCTGTAGAAAAAGTGTATAAAGAGTCCATTATTATTGAAACTGTTCGACATTCATTTAGTTTTTGACAGATTAATTTTGTATTTATTACGTTTTTAAATGTGAAAATTAATGTTTATCCCATAAAAACGTATTTATGGAAAGTTATGGTGGTCAAAGGGCCTGGTTCCGCCGGTGTATGGTGGCAAGCTACATTGTAGCCCCAGGCATCTGTGGCTGCAATGTGGCTTCCCACCATCACCATGTGAATGTCTGCATGAATGGGTGAATAACTGAATGTAGTGTACAGTAAAGTGCATTGGTCAACTCTTCTTACTTGAAAAAGTGCTATTTAAGTACAGGCCATTTATCATTGAAATCATACTGCTAGAAATATCGTGCTTTTTTTGTTGTTTTATTTGCTAAAATATGCTATCGTTTTTTGTTGTTTTTTTTACCCTGCCCAGCCAGACTGACTTACTTGGCCTGAAGTCAGTCTGGTAAAGCTCCCTTTTGTCTAAAACAGATCAGACCAATTACAGTGCTAGAGGTGTAATATCAACATTCCAGTGTTATTTTATTGATGCCCATTATTATGTCACAAAAGAGTTGTTTGTATTGTTGAAATTTTAACAACTGCCTGCTGATTTACTTTTTTTTAAGGCATTTTTATGTCACATCCATAGTTAGGACGATTTTCTTTTGC